CTTGACTGGAATCGAACCTGGGACCCTTGAGTCCGCAGGCTGATGCTCTATCCACTGAGCCAAACCGGTTAGGGCTTTAATTAATTTTTTAGAATGGATAAAATATAAACACTTAAATGTTCAAAAGGGACAAAGGAATGTTTGGTAAAAAGTGTCTTTTGCTCTTACCTATGTCTCTTGTCCCCTAATCCCCATCTTTAGAGGTGATCACTGTTAACCCTTCCAAAAATATCCCATGCTTATACAAGCATATATATTTACTAGAGGCCCGATGCACGAAATTTGTGCAAGAGTAGGCCTTCCTTCCCCCGGCTGCCGACATCGGCTTCCCTCTGGCACCCGGGACCCCAGCTTCTCTTGAAGTGCTGGCCTGGTCCGGAAGGATGCCCGGCCTAATTAACATATTATGCCTTTATTATATAGGATTGCCATGGCCCTCATTTTAAACAGGAATGGTAGCACATTGTTGTTTAAGTTAACAAACCACATACGTTAGAGAGTGAACTATGTCAGCACATATGGAACTGTCCTATTTTTCTTAATGGCAAATTAGTGTCTCCTTACAGAAAATTGCAGGGGGAGGGACAGGATGCATTGTGACATATAGTTTAAAAAAACAAGCCCTGGCCAGGTGGCTAAGTTGGCTGAAATGTCATTCTGTACACCAGTGGGGGCACATACGAGAGGCAACTAATCAATGTTTCTCTCTCTCTCTCAAATCAATAAAAACATATTCTTGGGTGAGGGTTAAAAAAATATAATAAACAAACAATAGCTTCTGCACACATGCCTCCTGGGATTTGCTTCTTTCCATCTGAGGTGGGGGAAGAGGGCTAAGACTTTAATTGGCGCTTGCTTCTTTATCAGGAGTTAACCCCAAGTGACCTAAGCTGCTTCATGGTATTGTGGCTTATTTTGAAACTCAACCCTACTTATGAAGTCTTAAAAAACACTAACCAACAACTCAAAATGCTCTTTAAAGAAGCCAGTTCCTGGCTGACAGTTTGAAAAGGATGAGTCAACTTGTCAGAGAATTTGCATTTTAATTTTCCTATACTTTCACTTGGTCTGTTGGAAAAAAATGTGCATCAGCAGATGTCCAGACCGGGCCTGGCACACAGTAGACTGGAAATAGATAAATGTGAATGAATGCATGCATTCAGTCCTGCCAGGCTACTGCAAGAGCAGGAAAGGGGAGTCAAATCCAGAGGCAAGTAATTATCCACTGACACTGGATCTCCCTAGTGCTCCAATCTGTAGGCAGAGAACCATACCATTATCCTGCCAAGAATCAGGGGCCATACCTGCTTACAAAGGTATTCTGAGAACTTGCTTAATCCGTCTTCATGCAAACCCAGTAGTGGAAAGATCTTGAAGAAGCGCTCCACCTGGGGCAGATCCCCTTCCTTAGTGGCAATAGCAAACTTCTCTGTTACAATGGTTTTGAGGCGCTGTTCAGCTTCCTGCAGCAATTTCAGGTTGGCATCAATCATGCTCCCTGTGCAAAGGAGAAAGTGAAAATTAATACCACTTAGTCTGTGCACCACTTTTCTTTTCTTTTTGTTTGTTAATCTTCACCCAAGGATATTTTTTCCACTGACTTTTTTTAAAGTATTCGTTAAAAAAAAAGTTTTTATTGATTTCAGAGAAAAAGGGAGAGGGAGAGAGAGAGAGAGATAGAAACATCGATGAGAGAGAAATAGCAACATTAATTGACTGCCTCCTGCACAACCTCTACTGGGGATGGAGCCTGCAACCTGGGCATGTGCCCTAACCAGAAATTGAACCAGCGACCTCCTGTGCATAGGTAGATGCTCAACCACAGAGCCATACTGGCCAGGCTCCATTGACTTTTTAGAGAGAATAGAAGGGAGAAAGGGAGAGAGAGAGAGAAACATTGATGTAAGAGAGACTCATTGACTAGTTGCCTTTTGCACGTGCCCCAACTGGGCTAGGGATTGAATCTGCAATCCAGGTACATGCCCTTGACAGGGAATCGAACTCATGACCCTTTAGTTCCACAGCCGACACTCTAGCCACTAAGCAACACTGGCCAGGACTGTGAACCACTTTTCATTAAAAAATATGAAAAAATATGTATTAAGCATTTACTGTGTGCAAGATACTGTACTAGTAATGTGGATGATTAAAAGATGAATCAGCCATAATCCTATTGTCACTGAAGTTATAATTGAGTGAAAGAGAGAAGCTTTGTGTACAGATAACTATAATAAATTCAGTATATGATAGCTGTCATAAATAAAGGTGCCCACAAGTCACATTTCTGTTTGAAGTAATCAGAAAAGGCTTCCTAAGGAAGGTGACATCCCATTTCAAAGATGGACTGGATTTTGATACCTGCATAAAAGGAACATACATTTCAGGCAAAGGTTATGAAGTGATCAAATAGAAACAGAAAGATTAAAAAACAACCACCAACCCTGACCAGTTTGGCTCAGTGGATAGAGCATCGGCCTGTGGACTGAGAGGTCCCAGGTTCGATTCCGATCAGGGGCATGTGCCTTGGTTGCGGGCACATCCCCAGTGGGAGGTGTGCAGGAGGCGGCTGATCGATGTTTCTCTCCCATCGATGTTTCTGGCTCTCTATCCCTCTCCCTTCCTCTCTGTAAAAAAATCAATAAAATATATTTAAAAAAACAACAAAAAAACCCCCAAAAAACAACCACGAGTATTGCGGAGTATTTAAAATAGTACTGTAATTATACGAGGACTTTTAACTGTGTGGAAGATTGGCGCCTGTAACCCCCAAGTTGTTCAAAGGTCAACTATATTAGTATGTGCCCTGGCATTTGGAGCTCAATAAATATTTGCACAATGAATGGATGCATGAGTGAATAGCATGAAATAAGGCTAGAAAGGGTGAGTCAAGATTATGGAAGGCCCAGAATACAAGGCTAAGAATTTAATTTAAAAAAATATTTTTTTTATTGATTTTAGAGAGAAGAAGGGAGAGGGAGAGATAGAAACATCAATGAGAGAGAAACACCCCAAAAAACAATCACGACTATTGCAGAGTATTTAAAATAGTACTGTAATTATACGAGGACTTTTAACGGTGTGGAAGATTGGCGCCTATAACCCCCAAGTTGTTCAAAGGTCAGCTATATTAGTATGTGCCCTGGCATTTAGAGCTCAATAAATATTTGCACAATGAATGGATGCATGAACTCCTGGTTCATAGGTCAATGCTGAACCACTGAGCCACGCTGGCCGGGCAGAATTTAGTTTTTTAAGTAGGCAAGTGGAAAGAACCCACTGGCTAGAGAACAGTTCTGCATTCAAATTCCTTTTCCGGATGTGAGGGCGATCTGGCTGCGACATCTGTCACCCCATTGATCGCCAGGGTTGATTCGGCTGATCTGGCTGGCTAGGCGGGGGTGCCCCCCCCCCCCCC